AGGAAGGAAGGAAGGAAGGGAGGGAGGGAGGAAGGAAGGAAGGAAGGAAAGAGAGAGAGAGAGAAAAAAATAAGGGAGAGAAGAACAGAGGAAGAGAGAAAGAGAAAGAAAGAAAGAAGAAAGGAAGAAAGCAAGAGAAAAAGAAAGAAAGAGAGAAAGATGGACATTAAGAAAGAGGAAGAGAAGAAGAAAGAAAGGAAAAAATTCAAATAAACAAAGGAAGAAGAAAGGTAGAAAGAAAGAAAAATTGTAAAATAAAAAAGAAAGGAAGAAAAAAGAAAAGAAAAGAAAAGAAAAGAAAAGAAAAGAAAAGAAAAGAAAAGAAAAGAAAAGAAAAGAAAAGAAAAGAAGAGAGAAAAGAAGAAAAGTAAAGAGAAAAGAAAAAGAGAAAGATGAAGAGCAGGAAGGAAGGAATAGAGAAAGGAAGAAACAGAGAAAGCCAGAAAGCAGGGAAGGAAGGAGGGAAGGGGGAAAGGGGGAAGGCGGAGGGGACCGGTGGTGGTGACTGGGGAGCCCGAGGGTCCCCGGGAGCATCGCCCCGCGGTGAGGGCAGCGCCGCTGCCCCCACGCTCACCCGGGCACGTCTCCCCTCCCAGCACAGTTAATCCAGACCCCAGCTAATCCTCTCGCAGGTCACTGGGAGCTCATTGCATTTTGTTCACTTCTCAAATGCATCTAGAATTAATTAAAAAACCCCAACAGTAAATTCATCCCATGGCAAAAGCATTCGTCATATTCCCCTGGGGCAAGACGGAGGGGTGATGCAGAAGTAGCCTTTTCTGGCTCCAAATGCTCAGCTTTCATTAAAAAAAGAGGAGAGGAACGCCTTAATGAATGTAGCCAGTGTGGTCAGGAGGAGGACTTGGGATGGGTGACCAGGCTGAGGTTTGGTGGTGTGACCCCGCAGCCAGCTTGGCCATGTTGGTCCCATTTGACTTCCAGTGACTATGAGGTTGCAAATATTAACTGTTCCTGCCTATTTCACTCCTCCCCGTGGCTGTAAGGAGGGAGAGGATCTTGTGCCAACGGCCCCAGCCAGGTATGAGCAATCTCTTGGTCTGCTGACACACCAACAAATAACTGTGGTGCTTGAAAAATCGGCTTTTGGGATAAAAAATGGTTGTGCCTGGATTGCAGCAGGTGGAAATATGTTATTTGGTGTATAAGGTAGTGACACGTATGGGTCTTTTTCCAGCACCTGGGAGGTTTGGGCAGGTTGTTAGTGCTCCTGCTTGTGGTGCTGGGATTCTGCAGGGATCCCCAAGTCCCAGGCTGGATTTGGGGTGAATTTCTGTAAAAGGCAGTCCGGCATATCATTGCTAGCTGGGCTGATGCAGCCCCAGGCAGGCTGTGCCTCGCAATGCTTCCCGGCGCTGGCGCTGGGCTAGCCCTGGCCACCGTGTAATGGAAAGGATGCGCTTGACCCAGCGTGTCCCCGGGCGTTTGAGCTGATTGCAGGAATCGACCGCATCGATCAGGCCAGCAGATCCGCCACAGCACGTACAGCCCGGCGGGTTCACCTGTGCCTCTAGGCATGAGCCGAGCACCTCTGCGCTGGGGGGACGGGGTGTTGCGGGGGGCTCTGCATCCACTCCTCCACCACGTTGCTGCCCCATGCAGGTCTCATTGCCAGCAAGGTGGATTCATCCCCAGTGGCACATTCCATGTTGCTAAAGAATAGGATGAGCTGCAGCAGGGGGTGGTTTGGGGAGTGCTCCTGCAGTGCCATCTCTTTGGGGTGCTTGGGACATGCCACGTGGCTTCTCCACAATCCCATCCGCTGCCTGATGCAGCCCCACGTGCCACTGCAGAGGCACCGTGGAGCCCACCTGACTTGGGCCACCTTGCCCATGTCCATGCTGCTCCCACCTCTCTCCCAGGCAAAGCTGAGTATAGGTCCCTGATGCTGCAGCTGAGCCCTCCAGAAGGGATCAAAACAGCTCCCCGTTCCCCAGTGGCAGTTGTCCCTTCATAAGACTTGGCCAGCAAAACCCATCTGTGACCGTAGATGGCTCCGTGTCCCAGTGGATATGTTGGGAAAGTTGGTCCTCGGGACATCTGCCCTGAGTGAGTGCCTTCCCTGGGCCTTCTCCAATCGGCTGCATGTTGGCCATGTCCTCTCCCATCCCCGGGCTGGGGGGACGGAGGTTAAATCCACATCTCCCTGTGGTTTCCCTCGACCCCAGAAGAGCTGGTGCTCAGGAGGTCGGGCAACTGCTGCTGCGATGTGCTGGGCAGCGGTCCATCTGGCACAGGCAATGTGAACTGATGGAGCTGCTTTCAGGCGTACCTTTATTAATATCTCTGTGCTAAGGAGAGCAGCTTGGCCTCTCTGCTTTCCTTTCCAGCAGCCTGACCCTGCTCCAACAGCAGAGCTCATGAGAAAAGTGAAGGGGAGAGACTCCAGTGCTACCCAAGGTTTTTCATGTACTGGTGTCATTGGGGTTCCCAGAAATGCCGCATCTCCTCAGCAAGGTTTGCTCACTCACTTTGTAGCATGAAAGAACGAACTCAAAGACCTTCTTGCTTCCTTGTGTGTGTTTTTTGGGAACAGCCTAGCCATAGAAGGGAGAGTAAAGGCAGTTGGGGGGGTCCTCACTCAACATGCAGCCAGCCACCCCAACAGACCCATGGCCAAACACCCCCCCGGGTCCCTTTGCCGTGAGAGGTAATGGCCATGTCTTTGTTTTCTCATTGCAGAGCCTCTCACGGGATCTGCGTGGTGACGTGGCAGCCAAGACGTGGAAGCTTGGGACTTCTCTTCCACCACAACAGAATCTGGGGGGTGGGCAGGGGTGGGCCAGGGGGACGCCGGGAGTCGCAAGACCCTTCACCTTCACTGTGGGCTTGGCTCAGGGATGACTGCAGGCAGAGTCAACCCTTACAGCATCGTGTCCTCCGAGGAAGACGGGCTGAGGTTGACCACCATGCCAGGTATCAACGGTTTTGGCAATGGGAAAATCCACACCAGGAGGAAATGCAGGAACAGGTTTGTAAAGAAGAACGGTCAGTGCAACGTGGAGTTCACCAACATGGATGACAAGCCACAGAGGTACATTGCAGACATGTTCACCACGTGCGTTGACATTCGTTGGAGGTATATGCTCTTGCTCTTTTCCCTGGCATTTCTGGTGTCATGGTTATTGTTTGGGCTGATTTTCTGGCTAATTGCACTCATTCATGGAGACCTAGAAAACCCAGGTGGAGATGATACCTTCAAGCCTTGTGTTCTGCAGGTCAATGGCTTTGTGGCTGCTTTTCTGTTCTCCATCGAGACCCAAACGACTATTGGTTACGGCTTCCGCTGTGTGACGGAGGAGTGCCCGCTCGCGGTCTTCATGGTGGTGGTTCAGTCCATCGTGGGGTGTATAATTGACTCTTTCATGATTGGTGCAATAATGGCAAAGATGGCCAGGCCCAAAAAACGGGCCCAGACATTACTTTTCAGCCATAACGCAGTAGTGGCAATGAGAGATGGAAAACTCTGCCTAATGTGGAGAGTTGGGAACCTCCGGAAAAGCCACATAGTAGAAGCCCACGTACGAGCTCAGCTAATTAAGCCTAGGATCACAGAAGAAGGGGAGTACATACCACTTGACCAAATAGACATCGATGTGGGGTTTGATAAAGGCTTGGACCGTATCTTCTTGGTGTCCCCCATCACCATTCTCCATGAGATCAACGAAGACAGCCCCTTGTTTGGGATCAGCCGCCAGGACTTGGAGACAGATGACTTTGAGATCGTGGTCATCCTGGAAGGTATGGTAGAAGCCACCGCTATGACAACGCAAGCTCGGAGCTCCTACCTGGCCAGTGAGATTCTCTGGGGCCACCGCTTCGAGCCCGTCTTGTTTGAGGAGAAAAACCAGTACAAAGTAGACTATTCCCACTTCCACAAAACCTACGAGGTCCCATCCACCCCCCGTTGCAGCGCCAAGGACTTGGTAGAGAACAAATTCTTTTTTTTCTCCTTCTGCTACGAGAATGAGCTGGCCTTCATGAGCCGTGATGAGGAAGAGGAAGACGATGACAGCCGGGGTTTGGAGGACCTGAGCCCAGACAACAGGCACGAGTTCGATAGGCTTCAAGCCACAATAGCGTTGGATCAACGGTCGTACAGGAGGGAGTCAGAAATATGACTCTTGGCCCTTCCATTGACTTTTCCGAGGGTATTTTTTTTCCTCCTCTAATCTCTTCCCCTACAACCCGCTCAAATTATGCAGAACAATGCAAGTGCCATAGGAATGCTTGAGAAATTAGTATCGTTCATAGTTTTCAGTTTCATCGCAATAACCACTGAGCGGTCTGCAGGAGGG